CATTGTATAGAACTATGACCATGGCCTATAAAGGTTCCATGAGGAGATGGACTATAGCACGTAAAGACAGGAAAAAAATACATGTTTCGCCAAAGAGCCACCCCACCTGATCTGTATGTCCCTAAACAGAAAAATCGGAGGGGAGAAAGACCCAAAACTGTAAAACCAGATGCTATGGAGGGGGTAGCTGGTGTAGTTTGAAAATTAAGTCACACTCAGCCCTTTGAATTGATTGTCAATTTTCAGACACAATATGGAATCTACTTTTAAATTTCACAAGACATTAAAGGGGGTCATGAAGTTATGTTTATCAGCTTCGGGACACCCTGAGTTAAAAAAGAACAGTAGTGATGTAGAACACAGCATTACTGTAAACAATACTTAAGATTTCTGTAAACTGTAGACTTCAAGCTCACTTTGGAGGCAGCTGATAGATTAAACTTGAAATTTTAATCCCCCTATGTCTTGTGGGCTTGTTGGGGAAATGTTTTTTGAAAATGAAAATCAGGGGCACCTGGGTGGCTCAGTGGGTTAAGCCTCTGCCTTCGGCTCAGGTCATGATCTCAGGGTCCTGGGATCGAGCTCCACATTGGGCTCTCTGCCCGGCAGGGAACCTGCTTCTTCCTCTGTGTCTCTGTCTGCCTCTCTGCCTACTTGTGGTCTCTATCTGTCAAATAAATAAATAGATAGATAGATAGATAGATAAAATCAATCTTAAAAAAAAAAAAAAGAAAATGAAAATCAGTGGATGACTCCAGTGAGTTGAGTAGGTGATTCCAAGATCCTGTGGGTCAGAGACTTGGTGGAAAAGGAACAGTGGAAGACTGTGCCTGGTTCTGGAGCATACCAACTGGGGTTCTTCGGTTGCCGCAATCAGTTCTAACTTGAATAAAAACAACCTTGTTAGAAGGCTGTTGGAAACCCACAAGAATCAGAAAAAAGCTAGAGAATCATAATTAGAAATGCACAAAACCAAGGTGGCTCCAGAAGGCCAGGAACTGGGAACTACAGAACCCGTCTCCAAACAAAGGTGGGGCTCAGCACACCGCAGCTACATGCATGAATTCCACTTGCGTTATCTCTTCGTCTCCTCAAGATTCAGATTCTAGAGAGAGACCACATAAGGGAGGATAGGGCATCCGATTGCAGCCTTAAACCTGTGTAAAGCCATGATGGAAGAGATAATTCCCCCAAAGAAAATCTGTGCCATTAGGAAGTAGGAAAATGTTTGTCAGGCAGCCCCAAACTGTTGGGCACACACTCAACAGAGACATGTATGTTTGAGTCAAGATTAATCCATCAAGATTAAAAGGAGGGAACATCAAAAGTAGTATCATCATGTATCAATTCTGTGGATGATTTATCCAAGTAATTAATACTGGCTGGATGCTGATTCCAAAATAGTCATAAGGAGAGAATGTGGTTTGACAACAAACTGCAGATTGGTACATTTTCTGGAAATTTCAGTGTGCCACAAATCGAACACCTGAAAAATTCTTTACATGCCTGTTGGTTGTGGTGTTACTCGAAATACGTAGAAGACAATAGGGACACCTGCTTCTTTGAATTTGAATGCATCTTGGCCAGAAAGGATAGCAGGTTGATGTCCATGTCCTGTTAAAGTTTGTAACCACGAAAGAAGGAAACCCTGGGCATAGTTCAACTTCAGGATAGCAGAGTCTACAAAACTTCAGAGAAAAGCCAGATGCAACCCCATGTTTAGAATTCTAAAAAGGAATATGACCTGGAGAGTTTGGAAGGTTTGTAATGGTTCTAAGTTTATAGTCAGAGGGTGCATGAGAAAGACAAGGAGTCCACATTTAAAGACCCACGTGCATCTGGGGTTCTCTGATGTAGTCCTCTGGTGCACCACTTAATAAGCTGTGCAGAGAAGATCAGAAGAAAGACATGTCCCAAGAGGTATGACAAAGAACAGGGACTGAATGACACTTTGTTGAGTGAACGAGGATGTTGGTGCTTCCTGGGTGGCAGGTGTTACTGTGGGTGCAGGCAGGTGTTTATGAGAATGTCAGGGGAACTGAAGGGGAACTCAAGGGAACTGAGGATTGCACGCCCGGCTGTTGGCCACACACAAATAAGGGTATTTTAAAGTTCTCTTTGGGTACTGACAGGCGAAAAAGGGAGGAATAAATCTGTTCTTTAGGACGGGTAACATAAGGTTAGAGCAAAACCAGGAAAAGACTACTGCTAACTATAATTTGTTTTCATCTTTTCTGTCAAGGAGAAGGATCTTTAAACTAGAGAAGATGAAAGTAAAGAGGAAAAAAAAAAAAAGAATGAGCAAGGATCTTGGTAAAAGACCACCTAATGCTATAAATGAACTAATTTTCAAAGGTACAGATGAAGTACCCCTCAGTATACTGAGGAAAGTTGTAGCAAAGATCATACCAGCCCTGATGGTGATTTTTAAGAGACTGTAGCAACTGTGAAAACTGCTCAGAACTTAGAAAAAGGCAAATAGGTTTCTGACATTAAGTGAAAACACCTGAATAGTCTTTCGACTATAGATGATAAAGCTTGAGAATTCCCAGGAGAAAACTCTAGACCAAATTATTCCAGCAGACAGAGAATGAATACTTGGGCTCCTGAATGAACCCACCAAAAAGCAGAGCAGCCTAACCAACTTTCTTTTCAAGCATCATAGGACTGAAAAAAGAAATGTTGCTGCCGAGGTCATTCTGTCAAGAAAATACAATCTGATTTCAGCAAGGCACATGACAAGATCAAAGTATTCAGTAGGACCGAATGGAGAAGTGGGAGTCAGAAGGGTGGCTTGTCAGCGAGGTGGAACAATGACAGGGACCTCCTTACGTGAGTGGATCCCCAGGTATATCATACCTGGGTTCACTCTGGAGCTTTTAGGAAGGGTAGGAAGTTTTGAGCCAGAACAGCCTCAGAAAATGTTCCCTGATGTACTCATAATGATCTGGGATGTCTTGGGTGAGTCAGCAGGATTCATCTCCCACTCCTGGTGAGAATTTAAGGCAAATTTATCACATTTAGAAATGATGGGTAGCCCACAAGGTTAGCTGGCGTTGTATGATAGAATAAAAAACAAAGGAGGAAAAAGTATTTTGCTAGAATGTTGGATCAAAGCCAGTCAACCACGTGAAATTGAACAGTGACACGTTTAACACTATTAGGTTGAGAATGATTTAATTGGGGGTAAAAAGAGTTATTTAATTAGGAGGGATAGGAGGCCAAGTTTGACAGCACATTCTGTGGAAAAAAGCTAGAGGCCTTTGTTGACCCCAAGTTTATATAACCTGATAGCATTCCAGGGCTGCTGGCAAAATTGATGGAGAATTAAGTTATGTTATTATAGAAAGAAGGTCATGGGATATGGTATTCCTACTGTACTCTGTTCCCCATGGCCCAGAGCTGTCGAGCATGGGCTCTGGGGTCACTCTGCCTGTTTTTAGATTTCCTCTCAGCGTCTTGGAGCTCCATGTTTTTGGACAAAGCCCTACACTTCTCTATACCTGTATTCCCCACCTGTAAAATGGGTAAAATAATAGGACTATGAAGTCACAGAGTTCTTGTAAGAATGAATCTAAATGGTCCATGTAAAACTCTTAGCACAGAGGCCAACCCCTAAAGCATTTGGTAAATGTTTTTGTTATTGGTGTTATTATCATCATGATTACTCTGTCGTGGACTATTTTAAGATGGGTACTAAAAGTCAGAATCCATTCTGAGGTAAAGTGTTTACAGATTTTTTCGCCTGAAGAGAAGCTATAGGAACATAGAGTGTACATTTATCTATTGCTGTATAACAAATTACTCCAAAATTTAGCAGCCTGTATCGATAAACCTGTATCACACACAGGTTCTAAGAATCAGGAATTCAGAAGCAGCTTAGCTGGAGGTTCTGATTCAGGGTCTTTCCTAACACTGGGGCTTCGCTGTCATCTGGAAGCTTGACTGAAAGCCAGATAATAGCTCATCCACGTAACTTTTGTCAGGAGGCCTCATTTTCTTGCCACAGGGACCTTCTTTGAACGTCCTGATGACCTGGCAACCAGCTTCCCCCAGAGCGAGCCAGGAGAGAGAAGACAAGTGAGTGAGCATGTGCGAGGAAGAAGTTACAGTACCTTTTGTGACCTAACCTCTGAAGTCACACACCCCGAGACAGTGTGGGAGGGGACATCACAAGGCCATGGATACCAGGAGTTGGGAATCCCAGCAGCCATCTGGGAGGCTGGCCGTCACAGGGAGTTGAGCACCCAAAGACTCAGATTTGGTGGCTAAATGTTGATAAATGAAAGACCTGTTGTTTAGAGGAGGGATACTTACTCAGTATGGCTCCCAAGGACAGAATTCAAACCAATAGGCAGAGATATCTTTAGGGCTTACTCGTATTCTTTTACTTTTGATGGGAAAGAAACATTTTGTTGAAGTATAAGGTCTTTGTTCCCGAACCAGTATGGCTTGGAGAAACTATTGAGAAAATGACCTTGGTGTTTCTGGAATCATCGAGCGTTTCTTCTTTTAAGAACAAAGTGCAAACATGGTTGGTTTATACTTAGCCTGTGGGGTTTAAACCAGGAATTCCCAACTTTTTATGAGGCCAAGACTTTAGATTACAGAAGGGGCAGGAACATTGGCATGGAGTTTTTCTCACTGGGAATCTGGCAGACCTTGAAGAGAAGGATGGGGATGCTGCTTTGAGGGATACTGGCCAGGTAAGGCTCGGGTATCCAGCAGGAGAAACCAGTCTACTCTTTGAGCATGCGACAGTTCTTGCCGCCACTTTGCTGGGGATTCCCATAGGGAGAATGGACAATGCGCTCATTTTTTAAATAGCCCCCAGGAGAAACTTTTTAAGAAACTTTTGAACTTTTTTGGTAAGGGTGGCAAGGTACTGTTATATTGAAGTGAGTGATTACTGGAACATGAAACTATCAGTACTAGAAGCTCTGAAGAACTTCTGTCACCGGATGTACAGATGGGCCCTGTTCTGCCCCAATGCAACACCCACTCTTCCAGGAGGTAAGGGAACTGTCATGAGCAAAATCATACAACAGCCCAACCTTGGAAGGCCAAGGCCTAGGGATAAGGGCAGGCTCTGTGGCCGTGGGGTTGGGGGAGGTCAGTCTGGATCTTACTGATGCCTCAAGAAAGGACACCAGTCAGGGCCGCACCGCGTGATGAACTCAGTCAGCTCACGTTTCTGGTCTGGCTTGGATGCCTGGCAAACAAGGGAAGAAAACAGTAAGAATCCTTCTTGCCCAAAGATGAAAGCCCCTGCTGTGCTTGCTCGGTCTCCTGCTTCTACCCAACAGACCCCTCAGAACTTTGAAGCAAATACATTTCAACTTCCCTTTTTCCACCTTTATTTGGACCTAAAACATTGAGCAGGACCACATAGTCTTTGATGCAACCAACCTTAACTCCTGATCATACTCAACAGTGTAGATTTGTGTCTGTAGAGATGACAGTGAAAGAAACTACCAGCCCCATGAAAAGATGCATTATATGAGAAAAACCTTCTTGAGTTCCAGTGACTTCTGCACTCCTAACAGATGGAAGAAGATGTCGGGTAATCTCTAATTTGTGTCTCTAAGACTAAAGTTGGCGTTGCATCTGTGAAACCAGACCAGAGAGCTGTAAGTAAGAAACATCTATATGCACCTCTGTGCATGGTCATTGCAAAATGGATGAAGGGGATCAAAAGGTATAAACTTCCAGTTATAAAATAAGTCACAAGGATGTAGTATACAGCATGGCAGCTATAGTTAATACAGTATTTCATATTTTAAAGTAGCTAAGAGAGTAGATCTTAGAAGTTCTCATCTCAAAAAAAAATTTATAACTATTGTGGTGAGTGTTAACTAGACTTATTGTGATCATTTTGCAGTAAATACATGTCAAATCATCATGTTGTACACCTGAAACTAATATAGCATCAATTATACATCAATAAAAAGTGTTCCCCTTACTTAGGCAAATTATACTGTGTATGAAAAGCTAAGAATGGTTGGTATAGAAGTCTAAAATATATTCAGGTTATTAGTTAAGTAGGTATAAAAAAAGGAATAACTGCAGGGATAAAAAATATGACACCAATTTTGAATATTCACAGTGGACCAATGAGCAATGGCTGGATATTACAGTAAAATCAATGAAATTTTTTTAAAAAATGACCTGGTAAATATCTTCCAGAACTCAGAAGAACAAAAAACAAAAATAACATGAAAAAAGAAATCCGTAAAATAGAACTAGATGATCTAAGATAGAGAATAACAATTCCAAAAGAAGAAAAGCAAACTAGGGTTGACATAATCATCAAAGGAATAATTAAAGAGCACTTTCTTGAGCCAAAAAAGACTTGTTCTTAATGTCAAAACTATTAACGTTCAATGTAATTTAACAATTTTCATTACTAAAACAATGAAATGGTAGATTTATGAAGGCTACATTTTGTACTCAAGTTGCCATTCATTTGCAAAGCCGCAAGCCTGTATGAGAACACAGAAAAAGGTTCTTAGACACATCGTATTTCATCATGTGGACACAGCCCTCGGTAGCCACCTCAAAAAGTGTTTGAAGATCCTCTCTGGCTAGATAAACAGCTATATCAAGATAAAAAGCCCCAAAATGGGGAAGACAGAAAAACAAGTGATAATGTGCATCCAAGTAACTTGTCAAGATAGTTATACCAAATGCAAAATTAACTATTAAAGTAGAAGTTACATATAAAAATAATATAGGGATATAAAGGGGCGCCTGGGTGGCTCAGTGGGTTAAAGCCTCTGCCTTCGGCTCAGGTCATGATCCCAGGGTCCTGGGATTGAGCCCCACATCGGGCTCTCTGCTCAGCAGGGAACATGCTTCCCCCTCTCTCTCTGCCTGTCTCTCTGCCTGCTTGTGATCTCTGTCTGTCAAATAAATAAATCTTTAAAAAATATATATATAGGGATATAAAATCAAGTTATAATAATTGGTAACTGGGGACAAGAGGAAGGAGGTAGGAAAAGTACACTGAATGTCTTAGGTAATGAAACATCAGATTTCACCCTTAAATTAATAATTAGAGTAAATAAGTTAAAATTTTTTTAATGTAAGGACCATCATCAGTAGATTGAGAAGAGAATACATCTATTCTAAATCATTATAAGAGAGAAGAAGTCAAAGAAACATAGTCCCATATGCAAAGGACAAAACAAGGAAAATTACTAGAAATAATCACTTGTAAAATGTTACATAAAAATAGTGGTTATTCCTCCGTGATAAGACAGCAAGTAATTTTCTTAGGATTTTCGTGTTTTCTAAAATGTCTACAATGAACTTTTATTACTTTTTAAATAACCTGTAAAAACTCTTGGCGGGGTTGTTATAAAAGTTGTTTCAGGGACACCTGGGTGGCTCAGCTGGTTAAGCGGCTGCCTTTGGCTCAGGTCATGATCCCAGCGTCCTGGGATCAAGTCCCAATCGGGCTCTTTGCTCGGCAGGGAGCCTGCTTCTCCCTCTGTCTACCACTCTGTCTGCCTGTGCTGCGTGCTCTCTCTCTCTCTCTCTCTCTAACAAATAAATAATCTTTTTAAAGTTGTTTTATATAGGACACAATGCCAGTAACACTAAAGGGTGGATAAAAAGCCCCCAGTGATGATGAGATTTTATCAAGATATTCTGGGTCAGGTGGTCATGTATTTTTTTCCAGTTGTATTGATTTAAGATTTTGCATGATATGGCAATTTGGAGAAATTGGAGGACATTCACCTTCTGTCTGACAAAGACTGAAGTTGTAGTACTTACGGTGCTAGCCTGCTGTGGTGATTTTCATCTAAAGCACTTTGATATCCCAGGAAATTGACATCAGCTGTGTCATTTCAGTCCAAACAGCTGGGTCCTGCCTGATGTTGACTATGGCATCCCTGCCTTCTATCTTGTGGTGGTCTCAGACGTTGACTTATGACGCAACCTTTGCTACATCCATGCTTTGTTCAGTTAAAAATGCTGATCTCATAAACATCCAGAGCCAGAATGGGTCACTCCTAGTTCCCAAAAGACCATTACCACCTGTGGAGGTTTGCGAGCGTGGTCCTGACCCCTCTAGGCTGGAGAATGGACAGGACATACATTCAGCTGAGGAGCAAGCAATGCCAAGTGGAGGCTTCCAAGCAGGGCCAGACTGACTTCAGATTCTAAGACATGTTGATATTTGAGTGAGGTTCCCAGAAGGGAGCAATGGGAGAAAGGGAGAAAGGAGATGATTTATTAAGAGGATTTCTCCCTCATCAGAAACCCCCCAGACCCTATGCAAGCTTCAGGCTGGGCGTGAGAGTACTGCTCTTGCTATAACAGATAAGCCCTGAGTGCTGTTTCTTTCCCCCTTACGTCAAAGTCTGTGCAGGTGTTCCCGGCCTTGCAGACTTCTTTCCATGCAGTTAGTCAAGGGCCCAGGCTATTTCCATCTTGTGGTTCCTCCCTTCTCCATGCCCTAGGAAGAACTCTCTCCATTTCACCATGAGCTAGGGAAAGAAAAAGAGAGATCTCAGAGGTTTTTATGGACCAAACCTGGGAGGAGCACACATCACTTCTGCTCACAAACTTTGGCCACCATCTGGTCACACGGTCATACCTGCCTACAAGAGAGAGCCTGGGAAATGCAGTCTCTGCCCAGCAGGAAAAGGAACATGGTTTTGGGAAAATTCATGGGAGTCTCTACTCCATATATTTTTCTTTCTTCCATTCCCTGCCTCCTTCATAGAATGTTTTCACTGCCGTTGGCCTTTCAAGTGAAAAACAACAACAAAGATAGAGGTGTATGGGTTGGAAATGTAGTGGAATCACGTAGGCCATGTTCTTTTGGGGGTTTATTGTTTATGGTAGGGGTATTTAAGGTTTCTCTGCCTAGAGGCCAAGCCTGAGCTCAACCTTTACTAGACATCCTGCATCTAAATATCCTCCATATTTTCTAAATATTTTCCACATTATCCCCTTTTAATGATAAAACATGAGACAGTAACATGATTCATCTTACGCAGATTCAAATCTAGGTTCCTTAAGGCCATTCTCCTATAGAACAACACTCCTGGGGACATCTGGGGGGCTCAGTTGGTTGGGCATCTGCCTTTGGCTCAGGTCATGATCCTGAAGTGCTGGGATCAAGCCCCATCTCAGGTTCCCTGCTCAGTGGTGAATCTGCTTCTCCCTCCTCCCACTACTCCTCCCCTGTTTGTGCGTTCTCCCTCTCTCTCACTCACTCTCTCAAATAAACAAAATCTTAAAAAAAACCTGAGAGCAAAGCAATAAAAAATATAAGTTGTTTATATTTTAATTATCTTTATAGTGTTGTGGGTAGGGTTTTCATTTCTTTTTAAGATTTCACTTATTTGACAGAGAATGAGTACAAGCAGGGGGAGCAGCAGGCAGAGAGAGAAGCAGGCTCCCCACTGAGTAAGGAGCCCAATGCAGGGTTCCATTCCAGGACTCTGGGATCATGACCTGAGCCAAAGACAGACACTTAACTGATTATGCCACCCAGATGCCCCATAGGGCTTTGATTTTAAATGTTTATTTTCAAACTCAAATGTTTATTTCATAAAATTTGGAAAATTATAAAAGAAAAAAATGATTGCCATAAATCCCACACCTCTCTTAAAATCTAGGTGTCTTCACCCTGGAATATAATCTTGAAGGGCTTTTATCTAAGAGAAATTACAAGTCATTGCTATAACACCCAGAGAAAATAAAGAATAGTCACATTTTTGTCATGGGACAAATTCCCAGCCACAAATTCACATCTGTGTTTTTAAGGCTGTTGAGCTTTGCCTTTACCTCTGGATGCCTCAGTTTCCTCACTTGAAATGAAGAGTATCCTTCATCCACCCAGACTACATCTGTAGACTGTAAATGAAAAAGACATCTATCAAAGGTTCTGAGGGAATAGAATGTTCTAGAAAAACAATCATCCCAGTAGTGCTTACATATACTCAGTGTGGAAGGTTTGAAGGGATTACGGTTCAAAGACTCAACAAGAGGAAGCATTTTTTTCCTAAGGGTAGATTGAGGGTTTCTTGCCAACCACTTTACCTAACAATTTTGATATTAATAAAGAGGAGAACAGAGACACACACACAGACTGTAAAGCCAGGTAGCCCTGGGCTCCAACGGGGCTGTTCCTTCAACAAAGCCAAAACAGAATTCCCCATCCAGCAGAACTCACCAGAGCTGTTCACGTTTTGTTTCAAAGCCCGCTGATGAGAGCCAAACATAGATATCCCTGTTTGCTTTGTAAATGGAAATTTGAAATCAAGTTTCAAATGCTGGTTGACACCCAAGAGGATGTAATTAGAATAAGGGGCTTTCTGGTTTGAAGATACCAAAAAAAAAAAAAAAAAAAGATCTCTTTGAAATCAAATTATTAAATAATAAGAGAGAGGGGAGGTTTGGTTTTTAGTCTTCAAAGCAAAACCAGGACCTGCAATTTTCTTAATTGGTTTTTTGCTTAAAATTACTACCAGGGTAGGGAGAGAAGGAGCAAGGTGGGTGCTAGAGAAACGGGGTCGTAAAGCAGAAGGCGGAAGAGGAGCTCAGTGGGAGAGAGAATCTTCTGGGTCTGATGTATCCCCTTCTAGTCCCATCTTTTTTTAACCCATATGGATCTAGAATGCAGTGTGGGGACCCCTTGGGCATCTCACACATGCCTCTTCCTTCCTCATGCCCTTTGGGGGAGGAGGTAGTGTTACTGGTGGAGCTGAATGCAAGTCAGAGGCCAAGTTGAAATATGTATGCTGGACATCGCTAGAGGAGGATGCAGAAGCTGGTTTTAGCCTGTAGTTCACATGACTACACTGAGATTGTATTTTAGATTCCTGAAGCTTCTTTGCTAATTAAAACCATTTTGCCTTGGGACTCTTAGCTCTTTTACTTCTAAAATGGTCCCGAGGATTGCATGTTTCGTGGTAGTTCCTGATATGTTTATTCTTCAAATGGAAGAGTTGTCTTAACTGCAGGAGGTGCTTTTAAGGATTTCTTAACCCTCACCTTACTCATAGTCTCTCTCTTTCTCTCTCTCTTATATACACACACACACACCCTCTGAAGTGACAATGTGGTGTGTGTTAGAAAGAGCAAGAGCTTTAGAGAGAGCCAACCCTGAGTTCTGCCATTCCCTCCGCCATTCCCTAACCTGGCAGCGCTGAACAAGCCTCGAACCCCTCGGCTTCATTTTCCCCATCGATGAGATTGGGGTAGCAATGACTTACAGCCCAGGATTTTTGTGAGGATTAAATGGAACTCTCTGGGATACAGTGCTGGGCAATAGTACTTGCCGTTGGTAGACAATTCATTAATAGTGGCTGGTATTAATAAGTCATCACCATCATTAGCATCATCATAGTCTAACCTCAGAAAATCCACACTGGGTTAGAAGCTCTAAGCCCAGGTCCTTTAGGTAGGATATGAACCTAGCGAAGTACTTCTGTGTTCATGTTGTCTATTCTCTTCTCCCTGTTGGACTAGGGAAAGGTGAGGCCTTCGGAATAAGCGCAAACAGGATAAACCCCACTGGATCACATACCACCATGACTTTTGCTCTGAATGTGTATCTATTTTCCCACCACACACACATTGTGTTCTTAAAACCCAGCATCTTTGTGGGAAAGTGGAAAATACGTTGTCCGGCTTCTTTATTCACACCTTTTTGTGAATTCAGAAGTTCCATCACATCTGATGCTCCCCTTGGGTTTTACCCAAGAGAGCCATGATCAGAGGGAATTGAATTAGCTTAATGTTCCTTTAGGGATTCGACCCCCCACCACAAACATACACACACACACACACACACACCATCTTGTTTAAAGCTACAAAAACAATTCAAGAGTCCATTTTAACTCGGCTCTGAGCCAGAAGCCCCTGGTCTTTGGGGGCCTGGGCACCACACAGCCGAGAGGCTGGGGCTGTGGTGGGAGTGTATCTTGTGAAGGGCTCAGTACCCTCCAGTGAGTCAGCCCCCAGCCCACTTCCAGCTGTCCTCAGTTAACCGTCCGTGCCATCCATGGACGTATAGAAATCTCTTCTGCATCCCTGCTTCTCAGCCGCTGCTCCCTTGTGGAAATAAGTTCCATATGTGGCGTTTCCCAGTTCTCCCTGAAATAAAGTAGTGCTTCCTCTTGTTTCTCCTAGAAGCGCCCCTTCCTGATTACTGGAAGCAGCCTAACAAGTGAAGCATTCTTCCTTGCTGCCCCGTGATTTGTCGACTTAGATCGTGTGCCTTCCCAGCGTTCTTTGTGGACTCGAATAGTATCCTCGTTTTCTACAGCTCTGCATTCTCTTAAAATCAGACAGAAGGGAGAAAAATTTATAATTCTAGTATTTTCTAAGACTTGCTAACTGTATGTCCATTGGCAGGGTTACCTAAACTAAACAGGGACTACTAATGCTTACCGCACAGAGTGGCTGGACATTTGAGATGATACGGTACCCATGTCCTTAAGTGGAGTTGGAGGGGTGGGTAGGGTCTAAAAGCCAGTTTAAGGAGGCCCAATGGGGTCAAAACGAGACAGTGTTGGAAAAGCTTGCTGAAGAATTAGTAAATCTGTGTTCGGGGCTTGTGTTATAGGGAAAATATGTATCTTTTATGTATAGGAGTTCCTCTCAGGAAGCTGAGAATTTTGGGGGTGGGATGATAGTCACAAAAATGGCCCTGCCTTCCCTCCCCCCCAACACACACACCCCTCCTCAGGAGGAGGGAGGAACCCCAGCACTAGTGAAAGTGACCTTTTCCCTTCATTGCCTAACTAAAAGAAATGTCCCTTCTCTCTCAAGTGTTGGTACTCGAGTGGAAGCCAAACTCTTTCCAAATTGCTTTGTTATTTTTCAAGTATTTGTTGTTCTTAGTTTTACTAGTGAATGAGTTGGGTGATAACACTGATCTCTACACACATCTCCAGAAGAGCAAAACTGATCCCCTCCCTCCCAGGAGCCCCAGGGAGTAAGGTGTGTTCTCCTCCTCCTGGAAATGTGGCAGGGATTACTTTTGCATGCTCTGCTGATTTCCTCTGCTCGTTTCAAAGTTGCCCACCCCCATGTTCAGCCCACTCACACAACCTTAGGAAATACCCATGCTCACTAATCTATCTTCATGGGCCATTCCTCTCTGTGGTAGAGGTCACCAGTGTCGCCCCCACCCCCCAATACGGACAGTGCTCTTTGTCCTCAGGATCACTTACAAATCTTCTACGAGTTCTTACTCTCACCCCTCAAACCTGCCAGGGCCAGAGTCTCTGCTCACCCCTCCGTATGTGGAGATGCATCTGTGTCCCACACCCCTGACTTCTCAAAGCCCTGGCTTACCATTTCTTCCCCCTGCATGCCCGTCTTTGAGCGGGCGTTTCCTTCCCGTGCAGGCTAATTCCGTCAGTTCCCGCATTGCCTCACATGTGCCTGGACTGCCAACCCTGTCAGATGGGCCTGACGGTGGCCCGCACCAAGCCACCTCCATCCCAGAACTGAGCCTGACACTGGAGCAGGATGGAGGCCCCCAGCCCCAGGGAGCATCAGAGTGTGGGTCTCCCTACGTGCCCTCCCCCGGCTTCACCAGGGGCTGCTTGCTCGCTCCCGTCTTCATTAAAGTCATCTACTGCTTTTTCTCCTAGACATTCCAGAAGCATTAGTTGGTTTTGCCATTGTAGTGTCTGAAGAGAAACTATTTAGTCCCAGGTCAGAAACCTTGGCTGAAAGTTCCGGCTAAAAAGCCAGGCGTCGTTATTAAATTGTCACAAAGTTAGCCATGATATTTGAGGAAGTGATGAAATGGCTGTAAATGATGTAAGCTTTGCAACGGGCAAACATGTCCGCAACTTCTGACATCTGGAGAAGAGAGCAAGGGGCTGCTACTGCGGCCGGCTCCCCTGACCCGCCCAGAAAGTCCAATTAGGGCCGCTCTGCAAAGGGCGATGGCCCTTGGTGGTGTGAATGCTGCTCCTCAGGGAACTGTCCAGATGGCTGCCTCCCTGGCCCTCCTGAGCTGGAGAGACCCCTCCTGTGATTGAATCCCCGGTTTTCATGTCCCGTGATTACAATCCCAGACCCTTTTCCCACAAGTGGAGCTAGGCTCCAGGCCCTGTTAGTGGGTCTGTGGTCTCTGGGCAAAGCTTTCACAGCTTCCCTGGAGACCGTGGTGTCTGCAAGATGTCCGTTTGCTTAACAGTGTCGGAGAGGCCTCTTGTAAACTTCAGAGCAACAGAAACTGAGCGGCTTTGAAATTCCAGCTATGGATGGGCTCAGTATGAGGTCTGTTCCAAAAATGGGAGCATTTGGTTTTCCAATCAGCCCTGAAGACTAATCAGACTTGGGTCGGGACCTGGAGGAGACAAATTCAGGGTCCAGAGCCCTGGGGAGGGTAGCCAGCTGTCTGTCCCCTCTGCCTGGACTTCTGCGGGGCCCTCCTTGGAGTTACCTGTTGACCTTCACTGCCGCCTTTTCCTACATGAGAGGATTTTTCCCATTTTAAGTAGCTAGGCCTTTCCTTTCTCCGCTGATATTTCCTTGAGTTTTCAAGAAAAGACAGACAAATTGTGAGGGGGAGAGGACGAGAGAGTAGAGGAAGGTAGACAAAGAGTAGGAAGAGAGAGAGAAGGAGGAAGGGAAAAGGAGAGACGTATCCTCTGGGACCGTGCTGGGAATTCCAGGGTTGTCTTGTAAAGCTCATTTTGATTTAAGTTACTGAGCCAAATCCTCCACGTGGCGTGACTGCCTGGCCTGCCCGCATCAGAGATGATACTCGAACAGCACAGGGACACAGCAGACATACAGGAGGTGGGAATCCCTCCTCTCCCACTCCTGACCTTTCCCAGACTCCCCTTCTTCCAGAACCTTGCAAAAGCTTCTTATCTGTCTGGGCTGACCATGCTGAAGTGCTGGAGTTTTCCATGCTGATTCTGGTGGTGTCTGAGGCACACATCTTTAAAAGCCCTAGAACCAGAACAGTCACTGCCCCACACCTGTGGCCTGCTTCCCACTTGGCACGGGGTTTCTGGGCACCCAAGCCAGCACAGCAGCTCCAGGGGCCAGCGTGCCCATGGCCTCCCCTCAGTCTGTGGCCGGCTTGCCCTGAGGTGGCACAGGGTGAGCACAGGGCCACGGGGTGTTTCCCTCCTGGGACCACAGTCTAGTTCCCTCCTTCCCCTCCATTTCTCAAGGGCGGATCACGTCCCCCAAAGCTGCCACGTGTGCCGCTGGAAACAGGACCTGACCTGCACACGCACACCTGGAGCTTCCTGGGGTCAGGGATCAGGGTGTCACCCTGCACCGATTCTTAACTGAAATGCTTGCTTTTAAGATGTTTGTGATTATATCAAGGTGGGGGGGAATGCAAGTAACAGAGGAAGTAGTACGTTCACATGAGTGCACGTGTGCAGTATGTAGAGAAGTCTGTCTGTGGGGTACTTTTATTTTTTATACTCCACGGTGCTTTTGTTTAATTTTACACTGATATTTACAAAAGGTTTCTACAGCGAAGGATCACTTTTGTGGTCAGGAAAAAGGTTTTAAAAATAAACGGGGTTTTTGTGCTTATGATAGTCGACTGGCATCGAGCTCCCTTGGCACCTTGGTGCCTCGGGCTGCATCAGGTAATGGGGAATATGGAGCCCAAGTTCCTCATCAGGTACCCGTGCTCATCCTGGTCTCAGACGTGCGTGAGCTGCTGTCACCATGACCATGGCAGGGTCCTTCCTCGTTGCCTGGGCTTGCTGGCTTCCTAGCGAGCTGGGTGACACACAGAGGGTTTACACTGGCGGATGCCTCGGCTTCGTCACCAGGAAATTGAGGAGGATCTTGTCCACTGTAGCACGTGAGGTGCTCTTCAGAAGCAGCCCCAGAAGAAGAGTTGCTCTGTGGCCATAGACCTGGGCCACGCTGAGACTGCCCCGTGTGTGGAACGAGCGCACTTCCGTCTAACAAGCCGCATGCATCCTTGCGTTGGCAGTGCTGGGAGGCGTAGGTCTCCGTTCGCCGCTTGGCTTCAGCACATAGTCTGACTGTCCCTTGTGTGTCTTCATATGTGAGCCGGACACCCAACCTCTTTGCTCTTTCCCCCTCCTTATTCTTCTTTCCCTGCTCTCCCCTTCCCTTTCCCACTGCCTGTCTCTGTCTCCCTCTCTTCCTCTCTCCCCACTCCATTCTCCTTCTCTGCCTCTGTCTCTCTCACTTGACTTTCCCATTTGTATCCCCTTTTGATGAGACCAATTTTTTTTTTTCCTAATGCTGAAATTCACCTTTGAAATGTTGGCAAAGCATATAATGCTATATCCAGGTCATTCAACTGTCCTTTCCTGGATAATGTAGGCAAAACCATTTATGTGGGGTTTTTTTTAATTTTAATTAATTTTATTTTATTTTATTTTTTATAAACATATATTTTTATCCCCAGGGGTACAGGTCTGTGAATCGCCAGGTTTACACACTTCACAGCACTCACCATAGCACATACCCTCCCCAATGTCCATAACCCCACTCCCCCTCTCCCAACCCCCCTCCCCCCATCAACCTTCAGTTTGTTTTGTGAGATTAAGAGTCACTTGTGGTTTGTCTCCCTCCAAATCCCATCTTGTTTCATTTATTCTTCTCCTACCCCCTTAACCCCCCATGTTGCATCTCCTCTCCCTCATATCAGGGAGATCATATGATAGTTGTCTTTCTCTGATTGACTTACTTCGCTAAGCATGATACCCTCTAATTCCATCCACATCATCGCGAATGGCAAGATTTCATTTCTTTTGATGGCTGCATAGTATTCCATTGTGTATATATACCACATCTTCTTTATCCATTCGTCTGTGGATGGACATCTAGGTTCTTTCCATAGTTTGGCTATTGTAGACATTGCTGCTATAAACATTCGGGTGCACGTGCCCCTTCGGATCACTACGTTTGTATCTTTAGGGTAAATACCCAGTAGTGTGATTGCTGGGTCATAGGGTAGTTCTATTTTCAACATTTTGAGGAACCTCCATGCTGTTTTCCAGAGTGGTTGCACCAGCTTGCATTCCCACCAACAGTGTAGGAGGGTTCCCCTTTGATGAGACCAATTTTTATAAAGACTCTTTGAGTCACTTGTGAGACGAGGCAAAATAGCCATAAATACAGGCTGAGAACATGGCATTGAGTCTACGCCTTACCGATCCATCTTGGAGAGTAGTGTTCCCAAAGAACAGATCCCGAGTTTTCTTCCAGGGTGTATCTGGTGACCTGACACTTGACCACAAAGAATGTCAGCAGATTGCAGGCCTTGGGGTCACTTGGGTTTTGAAGACCTGGCAGAGGACCAGCTCCAAAAAGGGTCCCTTTGAAGACCCCTGTTGTTTGGCTTTTTTCTAAGAGGTCTTTTTTCTCTAAACAATGTGTCTTGTGTGTAATACAAGCCTGGGTCTCCACATCAGTGCACATCAGAATCACCTGGACAGCCCAGGTACGCCACATCAATTCTATCTCAATAAACCTGACTTCTTTCTAAAATTAAAAAAAAAAATCATCTGGAAATCTTATCACACAGATTCTTGGGCGCCATCCCAATGATCCTAATTCAGTAGGTCCAAGGGCAGGGCCTGTGAACTTGGCTTTCTGATGAGCTCCAGGGGTGTAAAGTTGCTGGCCCACAGACATTTGAGGAGCTCAACTCTGAACCCTGACCAGGGACTCTCACTAGCCACTTGGAGGAAGTTGTCTAAGTGGCCTTTTGTGGAGCTTATCAAAAGCCTTTTTCAGGTCTAAATCAAATTAGATCCACCAGTCTCCAGCCCGTCATCTCTCTGTATTTGCTCCTCAACAAGGTAATGAACACAGAGAAGCCAGTTAGGTGAACTGCAGCAGACCCTCCTGCCCCAGCATCCCAGTGTCCACGGTCAGCAAGCAAACAAGCCCATTCCTAAACCACCCAGGCCTGGGACTCGCAGGCCCACTGTTTCCCGCTGAGGCTGTTGGACCGCATGTCCCATAGGCTGCCGCTGGACAAGGATTTCTCAAAGAGCAAGAGCTCTAAGAACATTTTTTCCAAAAAAATAAGTGGGAAAGACCCACTCCCCAAAACACAAGCATCAGAGAACCTTTTGAAAAAGCATGGGAACTACATCTGTCACGCCATCTTGAAATAACTGCCTACAGAGTCTCAAGTGTTATTTGGACGAAACAAGGCTGTTGGAGTCCATTACAATAAGTTCAGAGTGATGCCCTGTGGCCTGGTCAGGTCTGTTCATGTGTTGTTCCATACAGTGCTCCTGGTGGCTGTTTTTATTCCTGTGTGAAAGCCAAGGAATAAAAACCCAGAGAGGTTTGGTGACACCCCCAGGCTCTTGTGAGTGGTGGGAGCCAGGGCTGTGAGCAGGACCCGTCTCTTTCCCTGCTGCCCTTCCTGCCCGCTCCCAGCTTTCCCGGCACACTGTGTGCTGCTCCCAGATGGACTTCTGGGCTTTAAGTCCCCTTCATGGCAGGATCACGTCTCATCTCCTGCCCCCAGAGAGCCTCTTGCTACCATTTTTAGGTATAGCTTTCCCAGACTTCTTTGTATCTGAATTTTTGTTTATTTCAGTAGAATTATATGATACAGAACAAATGGGAAATGTACCAGTTTCACTGACAATAACGTATCGTGAGCATCTCTCTGTGTCATTAACTGTTCTTCCTCAGTGTCAATTTAATGGTCATTTAGTACTCCTCTGTAACTACCTTCTGGTTTCTTGGCTTTAAAACAGAGTTTTGTGAAGGCTCTCTTAAAAGAACGATCACTATCACTTTGCAAAGTAAAATGAGGTCGCTTGGAGAATAGGCTTTAAATATTCCGGTAGCTAACATCGCCCCAGTATCTCTGAATTACACTGAATCTTTTGGAGAGATGGTTTTGTTTCCGACCAAGGTAAATACATAACACAGCCCTGCTGGGAAGCATGTGATGCAGGTGTCTCCGTCCTGAACTGGCCATTAGAAAGTGAGGGTGTGCTGAGGACGACAGGCAGGGAGGGACCAGAAATCCTAACCAGGAGGGCACCCCTGCTCCTCAGTCGGTGAGGGACTGCATATGTGTCTTGCTAAGCCATGGGTCTGAGCCAAATGTCTTCTCTCTCTCCCACAGACCCGCCTGTGGCTGCAGCTGTGGTGTCCCACTTTAATGACTGCCCAGATTCCCACAGTCAGTTCTGCTTCCATGGAACCTGCAGGTTTTTGGTGCAGGAAGACAAGCCAGCATGCGTGTAAGTGTTCCCTGGTGTCCTGAGATTCTGGTCTGGGGGCACCCCAGCAATCAATTACAAGAACATTTACCTTCACGAGACATGCCTGAGACCCTGGAAGCTGGACGTGGAGGATCAGAGCAGCAGGCTGAGGGACACCTGCTTCACACCCAGCTGTTGAAAAATCCAGGTTCCAGGGCCCCAGCCCAAAACCACTGAGGCAGAACCCCTGAGGGTTGGAGCCTGGGGGTGTGCATTTTTCACAAGCACCTCGGGTTACTCCTGGGTTATTGCAAAGTCTGTAAAGTTCTGGATCCAAGTTTAATTCACTCATTAGAATCCCTAGAGGGCAAGGTGTTGGGTTGGATCCCTCTGAGTAGGCAGCGTCTCCAGGAAGAGGTCTCTGCCCTCCAGCATCTTTACAGCACAGCTAATAAAATAAGCTGGAAGTGCATGCAAACAGTTAGTATACATAAGCCGTAACAGAACAAAAAACAGCTTGGAAATCAAGATGTGCACCAGCGCGTGGTGGTTTCCATGCCAGGCCGAGCGCAAGCCCCCTGGGGCTGCTGCTTAATGTAGAGCCAAGCCCCACCCCACCCCACTGAATCATCATCTCCAGGAATGGGACCCAGGAGTCACATTACCTAAGAGCCACTGGGGAGTGCCATGGTCAGCCAGCCTGGGAAAGAAAGGCACTTGAGGAAGGCTCCCCAGAGCAGATGTTAGGGTATGCCTAGTGGGGAGAACAGAGAGGTTATTCCAGGCCTGGAACATTGGGGGGCCTGCTATTATGGGCTACCTGTTATGTCTACAGCAGGAGGAGACAAGTGTGGAGACAAATTGGAGGCCAGAGCTTATTGGAAGTGAACCTTTATTCTCTAGGCAGTGAGAGGCATGTTCGTTTGGGGAAGGGAAGTTTTAAGAAAAGGAATCTGTCCATAATTGAATAGTCTTAAGTGGCCCCATACACAACTTTGGTGCTATTGACATTCAGGGCTGGGTGGGCCTTTGCTGGGCAGGAGGATATTAGTGGCAACCCTGGCCTCCACCCACCAGGTGCCAGGAGAACGAGCACCTTACAGAGGTGACCATCAGAATGTCTCCAGATTGCCAAACGTCCCCTGGGGGGGTGGGAGGAAACAAAATCCGTCCTCCACCCCCAACTGAAACCACCCATCTGTATGAAGTTGTCATTTCTATAGGTCACGACTGGTGGAAAGGTAGCAATTCCATACAGTCCAACTTAATAGTACCAGTAAGTGATACTAAAATGTTAACAAAAGCCGGCATTTATTTAATTTTGTTCGCTTCACGCTGGACACCGTCTCAGGCATGATCTGTGTGCTAACTCAGGTGATCCTCCCCACAACCCCACGAGTTAGGCACAGAGAGAGCTGGTGCCCAGGTTGCAGGGCAGAGCTTATGGTCAAACGTCCACGGTCTAGCTCCTGAAGCTGAGTGCTTAACCATGATGCTAAGGGTGTCGGATGCATTAGCCTGAGAGCTACTGAGGCTCTGGAGAGTCTGTGCAGATAAAGCGGGGGGGCAGGGTTTTCCTCTTCCCGTGTTGCGCAAGCCTCACCTGGTGAAGCAGGCTGTCTCCCTTCCTCCTTGCAGGAGGACTGCCTGAGGCCCCCAGGTCAAATCTGCAAAACTTGAGCCCTCCCTACCCTGTAAAAGCGGAAGCCTTCTGAAAGCCAGTGGGGCAGGGACGGGGATAGGGGAGAGGGGGAGCAGAGGTGCTGGTGCTTTCTTGTTCTCTTCACCGGGGATCCCAAGCCCTGCTCTTGGCCCAGGGAGCTAATCGTCCATCACACTTACGCACCATTGCATTTGGAAAATCAGGATGACTGACTGTCTCTCCCCCCATTCACATTATAAATATTGCTATTAATAATAAGCTTTCCATAAAAGCTATAGCTAGGTGCCAGGCCTGGCTCCCAGCACTCTCTCCATATATAGTAACTCATTGAGTCCTCACAACTCCCTTCACCAGTGGGAATTCTTGTTCTTGTTGCATAAATGAGAAAACTGAGTCAGCTCACAGAAGCAATTTGCCGAGTCCCCGAGCTAGTAAATGGCAGAGTTTAGGATTCAGTCTGATTGACTCAAACTCCCAGACTTGTGTGCTCTGCTACTGCCCCAGAGGGCATTCTGTCTTGGTCTAAAAAGTTCATCTCTGCTAAAAAAGAAACAACAGATCCAAAATGGAGTCACTTGTGCTAAGCCCATATCACCAAACCAAATCGTAGTACCTGACCCAATTGCAGTTTCAGCCTGCCCCAGAAACGTGCTTAGTCCATCCGTCTGGAATTTCCCTGGTCAGCTCTAGTGATTGATAGACTCCTTCTGTCCCCCAAAGAAAGATGAAGTTATTTACTCTTTCCCTGTCTCTGCCCCCTTCTGCTTACACAAGTCTCCCATCTTGTACAGCTCCTTGGAACTCCTTTCCACTGACTAGATGGGATACAGTCTGATTCATAAATCACTGAATAAAACCAATTTGATCTTAAAATTTACTCAGTTGAATATTGCTTTTTAACATCTCAAATCACTAAGCTCTTTCGTTTGCAAGAAAGGTGTTGGCATCTTCCCCATGTAAAGAGAAACATCGAAGTCATTCCCAAGCTCTTTGCCCCGACCACACTCTTAAGGTCCTTTCCGTGGGCCGACTGCGGGATCTCCCAGAAACAGCTGGGCCATCCTTGTGGTTTGGAGAAGCTGACCATTTGTGGGGATACATAGCCATGCAACCAATTACCACCTCATTACCTCAGTTTCCCCACCGGGTCTTGGCAGCCCAGGGGGTTCAGCCCACAGATGTGTTTTACGGGTCAGTGGATGATGATCTGCGTTGTTCTTTGGTAGTTTTAATTAGTTGTCAGCATTTTAGAAGCTGTGTTTCACTCTCCATGTGAATGTTCAGCCCGATGGAATAAACAGAAAGATGGTAGCATCAGGTCAGGCCTGAACTCCCAAGTGTGCCATTTGGCTGGAATACAGGTGTGCCAGCCCCACCATCCCCCAGACAGGGCTTGCCCTCTCTGGTCCTCATTCCCCCCTCTCCCCACTGCTCCCCAATGCCAAAGCAGATGTCAGCCCCTGACTGTCCTGTTGCTGCTTCTGCTCGCCTCAATCATGCCAGCCCACTTTGCTCACTCCTGCCGGGTGAGCTCTTAAGCTCCGTGAGGACAGGACCACGCCTTATACCCTTTGTAATTCCAGTACCTAGAAGAATGGCATAATTAATTAATTCCCCACTAGACCAGAAACTGTGATCCGTGCAGAGAAAGCAGAACATTCTGTTCCCACTCGTATGAACTGCCCCAGCTTTGGGTTTGCTGACACAGACATTCTGGTCAATAAAACCAACATACCTTGAGGGAAGGCCATATATGTCACGGCCTTATAAAGAAAACCCACAGCAACCCAAACTGAGAGTCTAAAAAGAGGGAGCTCTTTCTAAAACACTGTCTCATGTAAGCTTTGTTTTTTATAAGAACAATAGTCTTTATGTCTAAATAGTCTAAATGACATCTCACACTAAAATATGAGGTAGAGAAAAAAAGTTGAAACAAATAACTAGTCAGAAGTAGCCAAAGGTAGTGAACAAAATCCTCAAACACTTATGTTTCAGTTGAACCCTGGCTGGTATTTTATGTCTTCCTTTAATAAATCCCCGCTAGCACCCAACTACCTCAGGAAACAAATAGGAAAAGGATTTCCAGAGACATTAAAGCCATAGAAAGGCAAGGTTAGGACTTGCACACCATTTTCCCTTGAGGCAGATTCAGCGTGCTATTGGTCGGCTGCCGGCAGAAGCCTTCAAACAAAGGAGAACAGTTGAAGGAAGACACCCAGGTGACATTTTTTAAGAGTTCCAGTGTCCCCAGCCAGTGGCAACCAGTTTGAAGTTTCTCACCTGTCCAAAACGCTCTTCAGTGACTAAATTCCCTGACTTGACTTTCCCACAGCGAAGTGTGAAAACAAATTGCTGAGCCAAGGAAAACACTTCACATGGCCCTGGCCATAGTACATTCTAGTGGGATCTGAACAGAGTCAGACGTCTGAAGAGACTGTCATCAGTCCACCAGCAGGCCGCGATGTGACTGAGGATGTACCCCCAAGAGCTTAAGACAGGGAGCAGTTTCGAGCCATTTTCTGTAGATCTTCTGTCATCCCAACAGCTGGCAGATGATGGGGTGTAGGGGTTAAATTATGACCTTGGGGCACCAGGCTGACCCAGTTGGTAGAGCATGTAACTCTAGACCTCGGGGTCATGAGGTCAAACCCCACGTTGGACATAGAGCTCACTTTATTTTTTTTAAAGATTTTTTTTGTGGGGCGCCTGAGTGGCTCAGTGGGTTAAGCCTCTGCTTTCAGCCCAGGTCATGATCTCAGGGTCCTGGAATCAAGCCCTGTATCAGGCTCTCTGCTCAGTGGGGAGCCTGCTTCCTCCTCTCTCTCTGCCTGCCTCTCTGCCTACTTGTGATCTCTCTCTCAAAAAAAAAAAAAAAAAAAAAAAACTTTAAAAAAAATAAAATAAAAGATTTTTTTTGTTTGTTTGTCAGAGAGCACAAGTAGGAGACGTGGCAGACAGAGGGAGAAGCAGGCTCCCCGCTGAGCAGGGAGCCCAATGTGGGACTCGATCCCAGGACCCTGGGATCATGACCTGAGCTGAAGGCAGATGCTTAACTGAGCCACCCAGGTGTCCCTAGAGCTTACTTTAAAAAAAAAAAAAAAAAAAAAAAAAAACAGCAACAGCAGCTATGACATTCTTCCATGCATAAGTCTGGAGAACATACATAACCTTATAACCTCATTCCCTCTCTCCCCACACAGGAAGCAGACACTGAGTGTCCTACCCCCAGGTAGGAAAACACAGCAGTGAATGGATTTGGAGGCCAGACCAGAGTCTCTCATACAAGTGGCTTAGCCCCATAAATGGGGATATTAATATTTCACAGGATGGTTATGAGGACCCAGTGACCATAAGCTTGCAAAGCTGTTGCTGTCCA